CCCAAAGGCCAAAGCATTACACATTGGGAGGAATGAGTCAGAATCATCGGTACTGGTCGACGGGTTTACTGCTATAATGTGACCAGCGCCCTATGAGTGCTGCAGACTTTCAAAGTATATTTGACCCGTAGGATAATCATCTCATGGTGTTGTAGGTAGGATAAATCTGAGGAAGATTGTCATTGTAAGTCTCTTCAAAAATACATTTGGCCATGGATTGTAAAAAATGACGACTACGGATTTGGACGATGTGCCATATTAAAGTCCTTGCTGAAAAACTAAGTTTCATCCTTGTGCATCTCGCTGTCTAATCAGATATATGAGCATCAGCGACATAGGCAAAGACTTCAGAATGCTGTAAGGTAACAAAACTTTTGACATATGGTTAATACCTCATCACTTACTTAAAACAAGATCTGATATATTCAAAGTCGACTTAATCATAAGGATTTACCTGCAATGGCACATTTCTACAGGTATAAGAAACAATGGCTGCAATTGTTCTTTGCCATCGTATGAATACAGTTGTTGTTTAAAGTATTAATTTTTGCAAGAAACTATTGACGGGCGAAAGCCTGTCACAAATATAAAAACTATTACGTATTTAGTTGTTGGTTGCTCAGTACATCACATAAGAGAATAGGCACGTCTGCAAATGCATATTTTTTTCACTGACATATAGCCATATAAACTCATTTAACATTAGTTCTGCAGGAAGATGTCATAAATCTGAACGTTTTGTGATTTTAGCTTTGCTCATTCTCTTTAGGAAAACACATGGCTCTTTCGTAATCTAATATTAATTTTTTATGTCAGTATTCTGAGATATACAAGGGTGGAATCCGTTGTAAAAAGTAACATATTGGATGACACGGCAGAGTTTGGAGCTGGCCATCCCTTAGACCTTTATTTTAAAATTTGTTCATATTTGTAATGTCCTTGAGGTACGCGAGAAGCTTACGCTTCTCAACGGCAAAATTTGAAATTAAACAAGACACTTAATAACTGATAGCCAGTATGCCGGCTGTAAGGGAATCTTGAGTTTCTTGCATGTGTCGTTTCTCCCGTTCATGATTTTTCTTGCACGTGACCATAGTAGTTCTCACTGCTACCAGAAAATAAGACTGTTTCATTACGGTATCTTGCGAAGCCGTACAACATCATTTCGTTGTTGTTGTTGTTTATTCACTGATTGTTTGCTGCTGTTGTAGATGCGGAACGATCAGCCATATTATACGGCGAACGCCGAGCTGGACACGTTGGTAAGTCGACTCGTGTTTCGTCCTTTGGTGTTCCAGTGCGCTCAATTGCCGCGGTTTGCACAATTTCTCAAACGGTGGCCATGCGGTATTTTGTAGTGTTTGAGGTGGACGTTTGTTTGGAAGCGGGGGGGGGGCTGCATTCGGTGGCATTCGTCACTGTCGCCAAAGTAGCAATGTCTCACAAGTGGGGTATCGTTAACGTCTGATGGCCGTCGGTGTTTGCATAGTTTTGCGCACTAATCCGGTTGTGATCCGTGCTGGTAAATATTGTTCACGTTTCACGAGGCCGCCCGCCCGCCCGCTTGACCAC